CTTTTTTCCTCCTTAGCAACTTGTTTGTTCAGGACTGTGTGTGTGTGTATATGCGGTTGTATTCTTTTGATGACCTTTAATATGTTCCTTTATCATCTTCATTTTTGGGGAATATTTGTTTTTATACTTAGAGCAGGCAGTGGTCCTTAAATTTTAGTGTGCATCAGAATTACCTGGGAGGCTTGTTAAACCATAGATTACTAGGCCCCATCCCTGGGGTTTCTGATTTGGCTGGTCTGGGGTGGGGACTGAGAATTTGCATTTCTACCAAGTTAACCTAGTAATGGTGAGTGCTGCTCATCTGGGGACAGTACTTTGAGAAGTACAGCTCTAGGGCAGTTTTGCAACCTTGTCATTATTGACACTTTAAATTGGATAGTTCTTTGTTGTTGGGACTATCCTGTGCATTGTAGGAGGTATAGCAGCATGTCTGGTCTCTACCCACCAGATGACAGTGGTTGTGACAAGCAGAAATGTCTTCAGACTTTGCCAGATGCTTCCTGGGGTGGATAGGGTCCCCGTTGGGTATCACTGTTCTAGGGTGCCTGGGAAAAACTCTTAACATCCAAATCTTTAAGTATTTTTCTTTTAGGATGGTTAGATTCTCCTTGGAGACACTATAATATTACGGTCTTCCTGCCCGATGGTGAAGGCCCCCTGCCAGTGTTTTGTTTGATAGATATGGGGTGAAGGGGTAAGGGCTCAGCATCTAGTATGTCTGTGTTTTCTTAATTTTCTTCATTTTAGTATTATACTCTTGTTTTCATTGTGCCTTGTGTGTTTAGTCGAGACTCTCTGTTCCCTTTCTTTCTTTCTTTTTTTTTTTAAAGATTTTTTTATTTATGTATTTGACAGAGACACAGTGAGAGAGAAAACACAAGCAGGGGGAGTGGAAGACGGAGAAGCAGGCTTCCTGACGAGCAGGGATCCCAATGTGGGGCTCGATCCCAGGACCCTGGGATCATGACCTGAGCCAAAGGCAGACGCCTAACGGCTGAGCCACCCAGGTGCCCCTCTCTGTTCCCTTTCAAGAGAAGAAAAAATCCTCTAGTCTTTTGTCGGGTTTGAGGAGGGGCAACTCTTTGCTTAGTGTGAAGTGAGGATATGTCTGCTTCTGAGACTTTGAAGTAGTCCTCTTTGTTTTAGACCTTAAGCATCTCTCATCTCATGACCCCCTGCCCTCAGCCTTACAGTATTGCGTCTTCTGGGAATTCTGCAGATTCTGGGGATTTAATTAGTGATTAGCTTTCTGCATTGCGAGTTTAGGATTCGGTTCTCTTGAGTCTGCTAAATCAATTGATCAGGTGTCCATGTGATGTCCAGCTTTAAAATTTTGTTCCAGTTGAGATTAAAAGGTCTCAGTTTGTTCTGTCATCTCTTTTTGCTAATCCTATCCCTGAAAGAGATTTGTATCTGGAATATATAAAGAATTTTTGAGGGGTGCCTGGCTGGCTCAGAAGAGCACACAACTCTTGATCTTGGGGTTTTAGTCAAGCCCCACCTTGGGTGTAGAGATTACTTAAATAAATGAAATTTAAAGAATTGTAACGCAATAATAAAAAGACAAACCAATATAAAAAAGGGTGAAGAATCTGAATAAATAGTTCTCCAAAGAAGATATACAAATAAGCACATGAACAGATATTCATTGTCATTAACTGTCAGGGGAATGCAAATCAAAACCACTAGGATGGCTATAATTAAAAAGTTGGACAGTAAATATTGGTGAGGGTACGGAGAGATTGGAACCCTGTACTGCTGGTGCGAATGTACAATGGTATAGCCGCTTAGAATAACACTTCGGTGATTCCTCAAGTGGTTAAATGAAGAGATACATATGACCCAGTAATTCTACATCTAGATACATACCAAAGAGAAATGAAAATCTATGTCCATACCAAAACTTGTATATGAATGTTTATAGCAACATAATTTATAAGAGCCCAAAGGTGGAAACAACCCAGATGTCCATCAGTTGATGAATGGCTAAACAAAATGTTGTATATCCATGCAATGGAATAGTTTTTGGCGATAAAAGGTAAGGAAGTACTGATACATGCTACAACATGCGTGAACCATTATGCTAAATAAAAGAAGCCAGTTACAAAGACCACATATTATATAATTGCATTTATGTGAAATGTCAAGCATAGGGAAATCTGTAGAGATAGAAGGTAGATTAGTGGTTTCTTAAGGGTTGCAGTGATGGGGGAATAGGGAGGTAATAGCTAAAGGGTGTTAGTTTCTTTTAGAGAAGAAAGAGAAGAAAATTTCTAAAATTGACTTGTGATTGCACATATCTGTGAATATACTGAAAACCATTGAACTGTACACCTTAAATGGGCAAATTATATGTGAGTTATACTTCCATAAAGCATTAAAAAATCCTTTACTATTTTAGTAGGGATTTAACAGGATATAAGAGTAGATGTATTTCTTTGGCATTTTACCTTCAGATCTTAAAATACGCTAAAATGCGATATAATTATAGGTTAAACAAATCATTTATTTCGGAATGACATGAGGGATATTAAAGATTCTGAAAATGTTTTCTTTAAGGTTAGGAGAAAACATTTAGATTTAAATTAATCTCATTTTACATATGAAACAGATTATAGTTTATCTGGGTGGATTGGTCCTTGATGTTAGACTTAGGTTTGAGTCCTAACTGGGGAGTTTATTAGCATGTCATGGAGAGGGACATATTGAACCTATCTTTGTTTCTGTATCTGAAATAGGATTAAAACCCATCTACCTCAGAGTTACTGAGGATTAAAAGAGCTGGCATTGTATTAGCTCCAATTTATTGAACACCATCAATGTGTTTGATGTTTACATTTTACATACATGTCATTCAGTCCTTAGAAAGCCATGTGTTCTGGGGCGCCTGGGTGGCTCAGTCGGTTAAGCGTCTGCCTTTGGCTCAGGTCATGATCTCAGGGTTGTGGGATCGAGTCCCGAGTTGGGCTCCCTGCTCAGCAGGGGTCTGCTTCTCCCTCTGCCTCTCCCCTGATTGTTCTTGCTTGCTTTCTTTCTCAAATAAATAAAATCTTTTAAAAAAAAGAAAACAGAAAAATAGAAAACCATGTATTCTGCTGCTCATTACATTGTTACTCTTTCTAGTAGCTACCAAAGGGAGAAATGACATGTCAGTAATAGGAGAATGGTTAAATTATTGATTGGCCTCTCTTTATAGGATATTATCAAATGGTGTTTTACAAAGATTTTGTAGTTATTTGGAAATTGTTATCTTAGATAAAAAGGTCGTATATTTTTATTTTATTTTTTTTTAAAGATTTTATTTATTTATTTGACAGAGAGAGACACAGCGAGAGAAGGAACACAAGCAGGGGGAGTGGGAGAGGGAGAAGCAGACTTCCCGCCCAGCAGGGAACCCGATGCGGGACTCGATCCCAGGACACTGGGATCATGACCCAAGCCAAAGGCAGACGCTTAACGACTGAGCCACCCAGGCGCCCAAGGTCGTATATTTTTAGATAAAGGAAGGAGAGCTCAGGTGGAAAAGCTCCAAAATATTTACTGTAGCATTATTTTGCATTATCGTTTTTTTTTGTTTTTAAGATTTTATTTATTTATTTGACAGAAAGAGACACAGCCAGAGAGGGAACACAAGCAGGGGGAGTGGGAGAGTGAGAAGCAGGCTTCCCGCTGAGCAGGGAACCCGATGCGGGACTCGATCCCAGGACCCTGGGATCTTGACCCAAGCCAAAGGCAGACGCTTAACGACTCATATTTTGCGTTGTCTTTATGATTAAAAAACAACAAACAGTTGCTTACACTGAGTGTTGTAACTTGATTATGGAAAATTTCATTCATACGCAAAAGTAGAGTGATGAACTTTCATGCACTTCTCATTTTCAACAATGATTGACATATAGTCTGTCTTGTTTTATTTATATCCCTCTACACTTCCCCTTCCCTGCTTTCTGCAAGATTTTATAAAATCTCAGGTATTACTTGATGTGTCTTCCTACTTACTTTGACAACCAAACATACCCCTTTCTATTTCCAAAACATTCCCTTGGTGATAGTGCCTTCATCTTTTGAGACCCATTTCTGTAGGGCATTAGGGTGGAGTTGTTTAAGATGTGATACTTTTCTTAATTTGGACTGATTCTCTGAGGTAGTCTGTTAACATAGATTCCTTGGCCTACTCTGAGATTTCCTGATTTGGAGGGTGGGATAGGCCTAAGCATACAGGTGCTTGTGAAAGAAAACACTGATCTAACATGGTATAAATAAGGTTTTTTTAATAGTATGAAGATCTTTTCTCTGTTTTTGCATGTTATTCTTGTCCCTGGAAAGCCTTTCTTCAGGTTTTCTTGGCTACTTCCTAATCTGCCATAGTTTTCATTGGAAAGCTTTCTTTAATTGCCCTTGTGCTTCCTCCGTACTTTGTGGTTTACCTAACTCTTTCATTGCTGTCCTTCAAGGAAAGATTTTTGCTCTGTATCTCTGCATGTGGATATTAATGTGTGTGTGTGTGTGTGTGTGTGTGGATAGTTCTTCTTGTTAATGAATGTTAAATGAAAACCGTGGGGAAGAAAGTAAGTATAATAGGCCAAGAATATGAGGTGGGCTGTAGGTGTATTCAACTAGAATGGAGCAGGACTGGGGATGGAAAGCTGAGGCATAGATTATTGTAAACATGGTAGCAGCTATGTATGGATTGAACTGTTGTTAGCACCATTGATACAAAAAGAACAAGGATATTGGGAAGAAATGAGTTGTCAGGCCTTAGCAGAAAATTGAATATATAGGACATGTGTACTTATAATACAACCTTAGTATTGGAGATGAGTGAAATGTTAATACTCATTTCACACTATGATTAAGATACTGACACTGAAAAGATGTTTCTTTATATTGTTTGAATTGTAATATCTGTAGTAGGGGCCTTTTTGAAGTACTAGTAGAAACTAGACTAGATGGTGTTATGCAAACACCTGTAATAATTATTTTATTTTTATGTTATTTAGTTCAAGGAAGAAATTTCTAAACGTTTCAAATCACATACTGACCAACTTGTGTTGATATTTGCTGGAAAAATTTTAAAAGATCAAGATACTTTGAGTCAGCATGGAATTCATGATGGACTTACTGTTCACCTTGTCATCAAAACACAAAACAGGTATGTTTTTAGAAGACCTAGAACTTTAAACTGTGAATAAATGTTTATACAGTTAACCCTTGAATAATGCAAGTGTTAGGGGCACCAGTCCCCATGTAGTCAAAAATCTGAGTATACCTTTTGACTCCCCCAAACCTGAACTACTCTAGCCTACTGTTGAGTGGAAGCCTTGCTGGTAATGTAAACAGTTGATTAACACATATTTTGTATGTTATACGTATTATATACTGTTTTCATACTATAAGCTAGAGAAAAATGTTACTAAGAAAATCATAAGGGAAGGGCGGAGCAAGATGGCAGAGGAGTAGGAGACCTGGATTTCGTCTGGTCTCAGGAATTCAGCTGAATAGGGATCAAACCATTCTGAACACCTACGAACTCAACAGGAG